CTTGGGTATTTATAAAGCTGTCAAAGCAAAAGGCAAAGCCAGTTGGCAGGGGGGGGGGGGGCAGAGGCTCCTTGTTGGGGTTTGGCTTAAGACTCAAGGCTTACCTAACTAGATAAGCCCTCTTCCCCTTGTTAAATTGATCAGAAACTGACCTCTATTTAAGAAATTTTCATTGCTTATTAAGCCTTGTTGTTTAGTTTGCTTATTCTACAATTATCATATATGATATGATCTGAATTAAGTTTAAGACCATTAATAAAATTTGGAAACCCTAACGGTCCATAGCAAGTTATAAAAATAAATGAGGCACTAGCATGGAAAAAGATGTTATATTCTATTTGATACAAATAAATGCCAATAAAAATCATAATAATTAATAATGATGGTTCACTGATGGCTGCAGTATTAAATCATGATCATGACACATATACCATCTATACTAGTTGTTATAGTTCAAACATTATACTTGATTAACTTGAAACAACTGCCACTGCATATCTTGTGGTATTATCAACATTTTAAATAATTCTGAAAAATTAATATGTCAATGAAAAATTAGTATGTCAATCCATCAATATTTGACAAATGAGATAAACTAACCATTTGCCTTGTGCAATGACTTATAGCTATAAATTGACTACACCACTTTTCTGACTTGTCAAATATAATTATGTTAAATTAAGTTAAATTTCAATACATTCATAGGGAATTGAAGCAGACACTGCCTGGGGTATACAAGAAATAGAAAATTCCAGGAATTTGCTGTGTAAAGAATAGGATGGCAACCAGCAATTGTGACACATTCCTTCTATCACTGACCTGGCTTCAGCAAAGTTCTTTTACTATTTTCAGGTCAGGTAAGAAAATTTAGTTTGATTTTTTAAATATTTAATTTATCAAAACCTTAAATGGCATTACCATGCACTTTAAATTAGTCTAGGAGTCTATCAATCGATTGATATGTTGAATACCTGAAACTTCAATCTGTAGCTAATGCTAACTGATGTAAAACCGAATACCATGATAATTTTCTATGTTGGCGTAGTGTACTCTGTCTCTGATTCAGGTGATTATGATGCTTGTGATGTTACTCTGAGTGTATATCCACACCGGGCAAGCTTGAAAAATATGCCTGGCCAGCACCAAAGTTCGTAGGTTCGATTCCCACCATGGCCAGGCATATTTTTCAAGCTTGCCAGGTGCGGATAATATTCACTCAGAGTAACATCGCAAGCATCAACTCTTGGGGATACTAACAAATTTATGTCTTCCACAGATAGAGTATTTTTCTTTGGTTTACGAATCCTTTATAAACACTGTTACGTTCGCGGGCGAGAACGAACAAAAATGTATGTTTGCATCTTTGTCTTTACGCTCGTTGCCCTCCTTGACCAGACACAGCGACACGCGCTGGCCAAGGAGGCTTTCTCGTATTTGTAATATCCTTCTTCTTAGTCTTATAAACTTTGCAACGACAATAAACCAATAATATCAATTTATTCTTCTTGAACAACAACGCTACAAATTACTATTTCTAATCTTTTCTAATAATTTTCTCTTCTACTTTTCTAGATTAAGCTTTCTCTGCTTATATACTACCCGCAAGATATTTATAGAACATTACAGATATACTATTTTTAGATATTACATAAGAAGCTAAATATAGCAAAAGCATGAGTCAGCATAATTACGTAATGTCTTAAATTAATAATGTTCATGACGTGACTGACTTCACGTCACAACACATCTTATATATATGGAACATTTATTTTATGAAATTCGTTACTTATTGAAAACTCATTTTGCCTTGTTTTAAATATCATTATCTTTGTCGGGCAAACTAGATTTTTTGGATGGATATCAGACTGTACGACTATTAGTTTCTAGTATACCACTACATAGAGTCATAGTTAGTGCAAATTATTTCGAATTTCAAGCCCTGAATTCTGGAGGAATATCTCAAAGACTCAAAGTGAAAAAAAATGATCTTAATTTGAATCTTGAAATTTTCCTTTCGGAATAAGTGAGGCTGTAACGTTTGCATAGTTTACCATTGTGTGAACTCAACTTAGTAAAGCCAAAGGTTTCAGTTTTCGCTTCTTATAGCAAGATTTTGATTTGAATTCTCTTCTTGACCATGTCGTTCACTTGCGATCTTTCTGCATGCCATGTAACTGATAGTTTCAGAACCATCCTCAGAGATAGAGAAACTAGTTTAATATTAATCTGACACTGCAATCGAGCAACGAAAAATTCGTTGGCTCGAGCGGGATTTGAACTCGCATCTTCGGATATCTAGACTGCCACTCTACCCATTGAGCTATTGAGTCAACAGGGATTGGTAGCAAAGTGCACGAAATATTTTCGTGACGACTTAACGCTTGTATGGTTCTGAAATACTTAAACGACTTAACTTTGAGGATGGTTCTGAAATAGAATTGAGACACTGCGCGTCCTCTAAGACACAAAATAGTATTATACTACATCGCAGACATGCACATCGTACAAAAAGCTATTGTACTGACACGCTCCGTATTTATCCAGTTGTGCGCCAGTATTCTCCCTCCCTTTGATGGATATAGGACTTCAATTGTCTGGCATTAAACAGAGTAAAATGATATAGTACTGTACAGTAGGGCGCATTACAATAGTGCGCAATGCAACTTAATGGATTAATCCTTTATGTGGCATCGTTGTGCCCTAACGTGCCCTTCTTTCCAACTTCACTCCATTCTTGTACCAAGAGAAATGCGTGGGCGAGGGAGGCAATGGCTCTGGGGAAATAGAATTTTTCCTGTGCTTTGATTGGTTTAACGTTTATCAATAAATTGCATGCCGTCAAAAACCGGAACTCCTAAATTTAGGGGTTCCGGTTGTCGATTTCCCCTGAGCCAATGCCTTCGTCGCGCGCGCACAGGCATTGCTCTGGGTATGAGATTGATTTTACTTTGTCTAGCACTAAATTGCCTAAGCACTGCTGCCAGATTTTACTTTAAACAGGGGGAACGTGTTCCAACTAAATTGATTAACTTAACTTTATTTAAGGGTGTTACTGAACGGAAAGATCTCAAAAGAAAAGTGCAGGAGCCAAATACAGAGAAAACGAATGGCAAGGATGAAGTAAACAAACAGGTAACTGTACCTTTACTGTATGTATTTAATGCATGTTATGCATGCAATACTATGTATAGGCAAGACTATGCATGTTTGTGATGTTACTCTGAGTGTATATCCACAACGGGCGAGTTGGTTCGATTCTCACCGTGGCCGGGCATATTTTTCAAGCTCGCCGGGTGTGGATATACACTCAGAGTAACATCACAAACATATTATTCACCTGAGTACACAACACCAACACAGCTGAAAAAAAAGACTATGCATCTTATTTAAAGTTGTCAAAAGCGTGAGCAGGTGAGCTGACAGATGTGCGAACAAGGTTGGGTTTACAGTATTTCTTTCTGAAAATACTGCAAGTGGGGCAAGCACTGGACTCACATAATATTTACAGAATTACAATATGTGAGCAACTCATATTGACTTCGGTAGCATACTGTCCATTATTTACATGTACTGTACATGTCCCACATTTCAAATCCAGTCTTAATATAGGTAATAACACTGGGAGTCCTAGTACTTGCAATTGAGCAATTAGTTAATTGATAGTCGAAAATTTGGGGTAAGTTTCCTCTCTAAAGGAATGCCTGTGTATTGATATAAGCACGATTATCAGTTGTAAAGTTCATATACGTTACGAACAATTGCTTTTTGGATAACAGTTATAAGGGCAGAACAAAAGGTCGTGCGTAAGAATGAAGCTGGCATAAAGGCCCATTTACACGATACGATTAGTTGTATGCGATTGTCATTCTGACGAATGAAAACGAGTGCTAATGCCACGTTTATATTGCTCATTCGCTGATGGCGAAATTTGAAATGTGACGTTTGTACGCGTGTTTATTCGATCACATTACGCCAGAGTAGGAATCGTATACAACTAATCGTACCGTGTAAATGGGCCTTAACAGATCCTCGTAACATGCAATTAGGGACAGTAAACCAAGAGACTGCTACATCATTGATGACTATCAAATTACTAAAATCTTCATGCACTTATACTGTACTCCCTTTTCCCAGATTGATGTGATTGTGTAACGTTCTTAAGCATGCAAATATTGATTAAGATGTAATTTCATTTTATCCAGGGTCTTAGCTAGAGGGCCATGTTGGCCGTGTTATATCACGGCAAAAATGGAAAAACACGGCTAGATATAATGAACGCGGCTTCATTATTTGTATAAGGCCGGGTAGGTTAAAAAAATGAGGTGTTACGGACATAATTTCTTCCTATATTTATGTCGTAAAAAAGTTTGTAAAATCTACTGTAGTTGTTGAAATTGACAAAACTTATCCGTGATGTTTTAATGTTTAGCCGATGGATATGGTGTCACCGTAAAATGGTTTTAAATACCCCCAAGAGTTGCTGATTTAAAGAACTTAATTCTTGAATGTCAGCGCGCAATATGAGCGTATGCTCGCCTTGTATTTGGTTCCAAACATAGAACAACCACAGACATTGTCTGTTGGCTAGGCATAACTATAACCGTGAATTTGGCTATTCAAGATATCGGTTATTGACATGTGCATACCTTGGTCATTTAGAAACACGCCCAAGATCTAAAACCCTAGCTAAGACCTTGCTTTTATCCCCTTAGACTAACAAAGATTTGTCAGGTGAACCTAATGTAAGTATTTTTAGAGATTTAATTAGCTAGGTACAGAAATTAAACCATCTTTCCATGAAGGTCTACTGTAGTAAGGGTCATCCCTTATAAACCAGTATTTAGTTTGTCTTGCCCTAATCTTCATGTAGCCTCCTGCGCAGACGTTGTTAGTGGCCGAGGCCCCCACCTAATGTCTGCTGACATTCGCTATACATTTGACTTCCCGGCAATTAACCAGTCACAATCATGTACACGATAATTGGAACATCAACCATCGCTGTCCTTCAACGCATGGGCTATTTATATCAACAAGTCTGCAGTATTTTTAAATTTGAAAGTTTTAATGCGTATGAGAAGAAGGCTTTTCATTCCATTGTAAACGAAAAGCAGGATGTTTTCGTCAATCTCACAACTGAAGTCAATGCTGAGAGCGATGAAGAAGCGAAGGATTGGAAGAAGGGAAATATTCTGTATTATATGGCACACCAGGCAGAGTCATAATTTGTTGAAGACAAAGTGTACAGCAGAATCGTTAGTGCTTTGGCTATAGATGCATGAAGCTCATGTCAGTATGTATTATAATAAATCCTAAACATATATGTGTTCGCATTTGTTATTCTCAAAGCCACAGGAATCGATCGGCTTTGATAATTTTAATAGTCGTTATTTTATATTGTCTTGAATTTTTCTTTTTATACGTTGCCTCGTATTATGACTATTAATATCTATTGCATGTAGTACTAGCAAGTTTATACGAGCCATTCTAATTAATATACATATCCCAACCATCTGATGCAAATCCTTCATAATTGAAAGTCTCATATGCATGATAACTTGCATGGTAGTACTACTTGCAATAAATAATACGAGGTAATGTATAAAAAGACAAATTCACTGTATTAAACAACGACTATTAAAATGCTCGATCGATTCCTCTGGCTTTGAGAATTACAAAAGCGAAAACATTTTTTAGAATTTATTATAATACATACCATTCTTTAATCATATCAGCTTCATGCATCAATAGCCAAAGCACAAACCATTTTGTTATACACTTTGTTGTTAATAAAGCATTCGTCTCCATCGTTCTGTCTTCAACAATGACTCTGCCTGTGCCATATAATACAGAATATTTCCCTTCTTCTATTCCAATGCCTTCGCTTCTTCATCGCTCTCGATTCCACTTAATAATGACACAGCACTGACTCCTCTTGACGTGTAGTTTGTTTTACTTGTTTTCGCATTGCTTTTCGAAGACATATCGTCTATATTTCTCTTTCGACACACTTTAAATAATTAATTGATTAAAATCATGTTATATACAAATAAAAAACTTTTTACAATGTTTACAATTTGTTTAAATATTTAAATCCAAATATTACATCGAATAGCTTAGGTAACTGCCTGATAAATAAGTAATTTCCTGCGCCAGTTGTGAGATTGATGAAAACATCCTTTTCGTTTACAATGGAATGAAGGCCTTCTTCTGATACGCGCAGTATTAAAACTTTCAATTTTAAAAATACTACAGACTTGTTGATATAAATAGCCCATGCATGTGAAAGTCAGTGAAGGTCGATGTTCCAATTATCGTGTACTTGATTGTGATTGGTTAATTGCCAGGAAGTCAAATGCAAGGCTGCAAATTACTGTCGGATATCCGCCTAAATTTGGCAAATTTCCGAGGGGTAGGGGTAAAACGCTGAAACTGAACCGCGGAAGCGGAAACTGAAAGCGGAAACTGAAATGGGGATAAAACGCTGAAATGGGGATAAAACGCTGAAATGGGGGTAAAACGATGAAATAGGGATAAAACGCTGAAATGGGGAGAAAACGCTGAAATGGGCAAATTTAATCAAATTCGTTGTTTGCTAGACCATTGCGAACACATGTAATTTGCCTACAGCTATAAAGCTGAATAAATATAAGAAAGAAGTTACCTGGTAAAATGACAACCACAAATTTTCGCCATGCTTTTTAGCCAATCAAATTGCTTCGTTTGCGGTCCGGTTTTTCACGATACGGACCGCTCAACCGGACCGCTGCGGATTTTAAACTTAAAGTAAACAAAATAAATTATACTTTCTACTGTTTGAAATTAAGAAGCAAAAATATGTATAGCGATTACGAAAGCCACAGGAAAACAACGAAATTTGGAATGAAGGCGAATTTTTTAACTCCAAAAACGGTGCCACAAGGCACACAAAGTTGAGTTCGCGCCTCGCTGAAAAGTTGAGTTCGAAGTTATATGGAGAGAATTGTAGATGTATTATTAATAAAAGATAAACATTGAGATAAACTTCTTTCTTATATTTATTCAGTTTTATAGGCAAATTACAAGTGTTCGCAATGGTCTGGCAAACAACGAATTCGATTAAATTTGCCCATTTCAGCGTTGTATCTTCATTTCATCGTTGTATCTTCATTTCAGCGTTTTATACCCATTTCAGCGTTTTATCCCCATTTCAGCGTTTTATCCCCATTTCAGTGTTTTATCCCCATTTCAGCGTTTTATCCTCATTTCAGTTTCCGCTTTCAGTTTCCGTTTTGTCCGCGATTCAGTTTCAGCGTTTTATCCCTACCCAATGTCCGAGCAACTTTTGCTCGGGATCACATAATCAGATAATTTTTTGTTGTTGTGACAAAATCCGATTGCAAATTCAATCAATTTGCATTTTGCAATAAAACTTACGAGGCGTTCTAGCATTTACTTTACAGTTTACTTAACGTTGCGCCGGAATGGCATACATACTTGTCTTGTGATATATGTCTTGTGACTTTAATTTTGTGACGTCAAAATTCAAGTTATGTCCGACCAAATTAAAATTAAAAGTGATCGGACAAATGTCCTGTCAAGTCAAATATTTATTTGCAGCCCTGCTGAAATGTATAGCGAATGTGAGAAGACGTTACTGTAGGTGAGGCCTCGGCCACTAACAACGTCTGCGCAGGCAGTTAGCTCTAATCAATCAGGGCTAGTATTGCCAAGAGACTGCTACACTAGCTGATGTATATAAAATTACTAAAATTTTCAAGCAACGTGCTTCTCTTGCGCAGTTTAATGTGACTGTGTAAACGTATTTTAAAAGGATGTACTGTAATTTCCTGCCCCCCCCCCCGGACTAACAAAAATTCGTCAGGTGAACCTGATGTAAGTATTTTTTATAGAAAATTAAGCTTTTAATGTCAGATAGCTCCGCTTGAAGAACACACGTACAGACTCAGGGCCGTAGCTAGCATGTGAAGTTTGGTGGGGTGGGGGAGGAGCGAAGACCAAAAATTTCCGAATGACGAAAAAAGATTCCGAATATTTCATGGCATACGAACCCACGAAGGTGTTTGCTATCCGGGAAATGAAGACGCAATTTACAAACAAAAAAACGCATATTTTACGCAGACATATTACAGAAGTAGGCAGTGCTGTGGGAAGCCTTTCTATTGGGGGTGGGGCTGAAAACGAAGGCCCGACGGAAATTTTTAAATTTAGAGTCTCTGAAATGCCATTTCCTGGACTTTGGGGAAGATTTGATAGAATTCTGATGGCCAGAAAACAGCGTTTTAGTATATCGTAATTTACAATTTGCTTACCGAAATTTAGTAGCGAAGGCCTATTTAATTAACTATATATTAACTAAAGTATGGGTAATATGATTCTTTGCAGTTTGTCATGGATAATGTAGCCGCTTAAAATTAATCAACTGTTAATACTTTAAAGGTATATTATTTGATAAAGGTCTGCATGATTTTGAAAAAAGAATAATTTTTATCAAATTATTGAGAGGGCTGTAACCTCCCCCCCCCTCTCCCCAGTTGCTACGGCCTTGAGAAGAAAAAAAGAACCCGACAATATTTATCGATTTACCACTTGTTAAATGTTATCCATGTAAATGCCATGATTTCGCAAATCATTTTAAACTACTGACAATACAACTATATTATATTTTCTCTGTTTAACAACTAAAATGTTGTTATACTATTATTGCCGTAATTTTCCGAATGGCCAACCCGATTTTCCGAATATGTTAATTCTAAAAAGGTTGGGGGGGGGGGTAATCCCCCCATCCCCCCTTGCTACGGCCTTGCGTACAGTACATTACACTTGCTCACTTACGAAGAATGGAGAATGTTGCAATTTCGTAAAATGAAGAAAATGATTTGCTAATTGCCAATTATATTTTCTTGTTCTAAAGGGTGAAGAGCTGACAGAGTACGAGAAATATCGCGACCAAAATGTTAAACGAAATCAATTATATATGGATGATAAATGCTGGGCTGGTAAGTCAGATACTTCATGTATAATGTACTGAACAACGCAAGCAATTTACTGGTGTGTACCATAGCTGACACCGAACTTTAGTGCTGTGCAAACTCCGGTTTTTCAACTCGGGCTCCGGCTGCATTGGTTCACAACACAGTCACAGGCAATATAGTCTGGGATTATGGCGGATATTATTCGGCTCAATTTTGTCCCCAAGGTAAGATGACGTGATACAGCGTATTAAATTATGACGCTTGCGATTTACAACTGTTTCTGTGATAAGATAGATCACAGACATAATGACTTATTGTAATTTCACCGTTTGCAGTAGCCGAAAATCTCGAGATGGTTTGACATAGCATATATGACTTCAGATTACTGTTTATGCACTTTTAACAAATTCAATGTTGCCATTGTTTGTAACCAACGCTAATTATTCGAAATTGTCACATTTCTCTTCATTCTGACTTTCTGGCCGGAGCTGGGAGAAGGCCCTACCACTCCAGCTCCGGTTAACAAACAAACAAAAACACACGCCGGAGCTCCAGCAGAACTCCAGCGCGGCACAACACTACCGTGCAATCTGTTACAACAAGAAAGAGGACGGCATAAACTAGTTTACGGTAAAATTAATTAACTAACTCATCCTTAATACACATACAGTATTACAATGTGCTGTATTCTATAGATACTGTATATGTGGTATTCACGTATGGTTTTCTTTTCTTTAGATTTCTAAGGATTCTGCATTATTGGTGACGCTTTTCTATACAAAGACGAAACAGCTGCAAGACTTAAAACCTGACCGTGTAAAAGATTTGTGTAAAGTTAAAAAAATGAAAATTGGCAAAGGCAACACAAAAGAATCTCTCTGTGTGGAACTAGGCAGAAAACTATTTGAAGATGAAGTAGTTAGAATCAATGACAACGACAGAGTGAAGTACAATAACTTAAAACTTAAAAGTGACTCGTAAAATAAACTAACTTATTAGCACTTATTGACGGAGATCGAGGGTAAAAAATGCTCCGTACGTTTTATAGAAATTTTATGCTTTTTATGCCAATATTTCTTTTGCCATTTTTATGAATTTTAACATGTATATTCTATATACCATATTTTATTGTACTATATTTACATGCACGTTGTTGCTCGTTGCAGTAATACTGATAGATTTTTTTAACAAAAAGTTTCTAAGCGTTCATTCTGTATATATTATAACATTTTTCTGATCATATAAAATTTAAATTAAAGGGTTATTGAATTTAAATTTGCAGGGTTTTTCACATTATAACTGTGTTTTACCGAAATTCTCCATATTAGCCATTCCGAAGTTGATGAGTAGGGTATTCATGCAAATGTCTTCAAACTTTGTATACTTACTAATTTTGAGGTGGTCTTTTTAGCTATTTGGTTCATTTCTTAATTTGGGCTTAATTTAACACTCGTCCCCAGTCCTCTCTTCAACTTCGGAATGGCTAATTGGTTTCCTACAGCATATTTACATGATTCGTTGCAGATCAATTTACGTGATTTTTACATGATTCCTTGGAATTTAAAACTGCATGATTTTTACACTATATTTACCAGGCTTATTGAATTTAAATTTACATGCTTTTGACACGGTTCTCGAGGAATCTTTTATGGGTTTTTACATAGTGAATTTGCTTTTTTGCAGGTTTTCTTTCATTTACTTTTACAGCTTTTTTACATTGTTTTTACATAATTTGGACAGAGGAATTTCCACCATTTTTACAATAAGTTTCCAGGCTTTTTAAAATTAAATATACATGCTTTTGACACAGTTCTTGAGGAATCTTTTACAGGGTTTTTACATAGTGAATTTGCTTTTTTGCAGGTTTCCTTTCATTTACTTTTACAGCTTTTTTACATTGTTTTTACATAATTTGGACAGAGGAATTTCCACCATTTTTACAATAAGTTTGCAGGCTTTTTAAAATTAAATTTACATATTTTTGACACGGTTCTTGAGGAATCTTTTACAGGGTATTTACATAGTGAATTTGCTCAAAGTTTCACATGGTTTTTCCAGGGTTATTACAGCCTTTCCAAAAAAAGTGTAGATATTTACATGGAATTGACCCGGATTTTACATACAATTCAAAAATTTACATACCATGTCAATGTACATTTTTGTTGGAAATTTGGTTTTACTGTAAATTTGCAGTAAAGTTACATCAGTTTTGCAAAGTATGTAAATCAAATCTTTTTTCCAGTGTATACATGTGCCACCCAAAGTGCTTGCATAGGTGGATGATGCATGGAAAGTACCTGTCAAGGCAACAAGTGCCCTTGCAGTCGAGGTATGTTATGACCATTCATAAGTCGCAAGGACAGACACTAATTTAACAAAAGCTGTTGTTGATTTAGGTTCAGAGTAAAAGTTGCTAAATGCACATTTGTAGCTACGTCACAGGTAAGATCGATTCAAGATGTTGTGCTTGAACCAATGACAATTGATTGCCCGAAAGCAATTTGTATAGGCGTAAAAGCATGCAAAACGGACTCAAAGCTGAAGAGTGTCTTAAAGTGCTTGCAAAGAAAACTCTTCACATATAATATGTCATGATTAATAATTTTGTGTTAGTAGTGTTTGAGCATCGGAGATAAGAATTTCTTATATCTATATTAGTTTATATCTGTAGTTTATAATTTTATTTTTTCAAATAATCTGCAGCAAGTGTCATTGCTCCAAATAGATGACAAAATTAAAAAAACATTATAGAATATAAATATTATACGGTGAAGTTGCTAACTTGCTAACACAGGAACTTGTGATTAATTTCCAGCAACTGGTATCTGACACTTTGTAGCTCAGTGGTCAGATTACTGTTAGAGTGTTAGAGGGCCTACAAAACTAATAGAAAGATCGTAAGAATGGTCTCTAGAGTGTGGTATTTTTACACCAGTTACAGTGGTGATGTCAGGGCTTAAAAAATCTGCAACCTTCTACCAGATTTCAACGGACTACAAATTTAA